TTCTTAATTTATTCTATATATTTTTTTTAAATTAAGAGAAAAATTTGATAAAACCTTGTATGGGGGAGATACCTTTTCCAGCTCAGAGACTGCTCTGTGATATTCCAGTATCCACCAGCTTCTTTACCCAGTTTTCTCCCGCAGCTCCTGCCAGCTCTGTTCACTCTCAGCTCCCTACAAGCAGAGATCCATGAATGACATGAAATGCTCCTTTTCTCTTCCCCCTCACGGGCTCAGTGAAAGGGAACATGTGCTCTCACAGATGGAAATCACTGCCTCCTGAAACAACACGCAGCACTAAATACTCAGGGGTACGAGCTGCTCCCGCCATTGATTTCTACAGATAATTATTTCCATTAGTGCCTCCTCAGAAGAGGAGTTAGAGGAGAACAAAAAGATCAATTTTTTTTTTTTTTTTTAAACCGAAAAAACAACAAAGCAGCAGGAAGAAAGAGCATTTTAAAAACCAGCTTGGTTTTGTCTCAACTTTTTGGAGGCGTGCATGGGTTTCTGACAGGGGGAAAGCCAGCTCCCCTGGGATGTGCCAGCTCCCCTGGGATGTGCCAGCTCCCCTGGGATGTGCCGTGCCTTTCTTGTCGCACGGGCAGCTCTGCATCATCCCTCCCTCCTCTCCCCAGCCCCTCCTCGCACAGCCCTCGGCGGAATTCCTGTCAGAACCCAGGACATCCCTCGGGGTGCCCTGGATGGCTCCAGACCCCAGCAGGGGGCTGGGGAGTCCTGGCAGGAATCCAAAGGCACTTGGGATTTTGATCTTAACCCATGGAGCAAATCACCAACCTTAAATGAAGAATCACAAGGCACAGAAGTTAAAGTAGAGTGATAATGAATTAATCACAGGGTGAAAAGTGGAATTTTGGGGGTTTTATTATAGGGGTCTAGGAGGCATGATGGAGGGACATGGGCGTTGTCCTACTCTTCTTCCTAGCCCCCATCTTCTGGGTGATGGTGGCACATTTGGATTGGTTTAGAATAGAAGCAGACAGTCTAACAGAGGTGATAGGTATTGGAAAATAATGATAAATAAAGTACATGCAATTCATAGTATAAAATGCAGACACCAGCCCAGGGGCGGGCAGTGTGCCCTTGGCAGACCTGACGGACAGAGCTCTGCGGGTCTGAGAGAAGGTATTTTAGATAATAGATAATAAACAACCTTGTGAACGCCAGCCGAAGAATCCCGACTCCTTCTTCAGCCGGCGGGCTGGGAAAAAGGGGCTCTGGGGCCATCCCGAAAGCAGGAAACCCGAGAATTTCTGGGGGAATCCAGCAAGGCACACTTCCATCTCTGCCCAGACACCCACCACATTGCCCCTGCTTGTCCAGGCCAGCCCAGGCGGGGGCTTGGCTCCCCAAATTCGTACTGATCACCCCCTGCCCCGCACAGCTCCCGCTGTCCCGGCTGAGGCTGGGGGGATTACAGCTCCCTCCCTGCTCCAGCACCAGGGAATTAAATCGGGGTGCCTCTGCCCTGTTCCCTCCTTTTGGGCAGCTGGGGTGAGGCTGGGGGCTGCACATGGGCTGTGTTTTCAGGGGTTTTGAATTAAACCATCTGGCGGGGCTGGCAGCCAGAGCTGTGGCCTGCCTGTGAAAATTGAGTATTTTGTGATCGGCTTTTTGCAAATATTGAAACGAATATTATATGTGTTGTGTTAGAGAGTTGTGCTGCATTAATTTTCTTAAGTAGCGGTGTTAAATATAGTTTTAGGTTATAACATAAGTGTTAAAACAGAAACTATGCTATGTAAGATACTTTTTTTTTAAAGACTCACCCTGAGATAGCAGCCACAGGACACCTAAATCTTTCAGAGAAAGAGAATTTATTGCCCCATTATCAGAAGAAACTAACTTCTTCCTGCCTCGATCAGCACTGAAGATGCAGTTAGCTTTAAGAAGTTGATGATGGCCAGACAGAATCCTTTGTTTGAATGGAATTTATGCATCATGTATGAGGTTTATGAATATGCAACAAGATATTGCTTTTAAGGGTTAATCCTCTGTTAACGTGGGTCCTTTTTTGGGCTTATTTTGCCCAGAAAAAGGTGCCCGGACTTCCGTAACTCTTTGTTTTTATTATCTCGTATTGTCCTAATGCTAATTGTCCAAATTATATTGCTATTTTTATAATCTTTTTATTGCTACTAAAGTTTAAAAATTTTTAGAAAACAAGTGATTGGCATTTTTCCCACTCTGTCTGCTGGTGAGTGATTCAGGGAGCACTGGAGAGGCAGAAATCAGTGCACATCCTGCAGAAAATTGCCGGTTTTTGAGGCAGCTCCTGGAGGCAAACATTCTGTCTCCAAAATGCCTTGGAGACACCAAAAAGCTCATCCAGGACAGGAGACAGGTGCTCACCGAGCCCCTGGGACACCAGGGAATTGCTCTTTTCCAGCTCCCCGGCCAGCGTGAGCTTTTGGAGGAGGAAAAGTGGAAGGGGCACAGTAGTTGACCACAATCCATGGGCAAAGCTCCTCGGGAGAAGGAAAATACAGTGTTAGGACAGGGAATTAAAATAATGAGCACATTTGTGAGAATCTGCCCCAGGGAAAATAGTTTAGAAAATTAAAAACTCCATAGTAACAGACCGAAAGCTGTTAACCAACGTCTAATTAAGCAAAAACTGAAATCCCCTCAACAAAACAAGAAAAGAAGGGAAAAATTCATGCAGCAACCAAGCTTACCCAGACCAAAACAAATACTAAGGAAATAAAACAAAAAAAAAAAACAAAAAACCTGTTCAGTGACATCTGAAGAGAAAAAACCTGACAGGAATTTACAGTGAGTAGGCAAAACCAGGGTAATGTTGTAAACTATCAGGTCTTGCTTTTTAATACCCATCAGAAGCCAAGGACAATGTCTAGGGTCCTCAAATATATTCCAATAAAATGCAGAGTAGAGACCACAGCTTGGATCCCAAAACAAAACCCCAAAATGCAACCACCACACACACACACACACACACACAGAGACAAAGGGAATCTAGAAACTCAGCAGAACCTCTTTATTGACAAAGTTCAAAGATCATTTGGGGTATTTTGCACATTAAATTTCATGTTAATGCTGACAGAGTACAAGAAGAGGCGTTTTAGATGAGATGTTAGGATAACAGCAGATATAGGCTCATGAAAGAAAAAGAACACAGCTTTTCTTACCAAAACACTTTTTATTCCTTGCAGAGTTTATATTTATCACAATAGATCTACTCTGAACCTTACTATGCTAACAAGTAATTTGAAAACAAATAATTTGAAACCTTCTATAACAAAAGCTGTAATAAAGACTTTTGTAATAAAAACAGGACAAGTCTGACCTGAATTTTCATGATTAATGTGAATATTTTCACTTCAAACCCCTACTGTTTCAGGCCAGTCTGGCTATCTGAGGGAAGAATCTGGCTGCATGATGAAGGTGGAAAAGCACAGGACTAGCAGAATTACCAATCTAGAAGCCTTTGGACCACCTCAGATCTTCCTGTTCAAGTGATGTAGAAAACTCCAAAATGTACAATTAGTATAAGAAGAAAGATTAAGAAAAGGAAATCTGGAAATTGGTTTGAGGCATTGGGGGAAAAAAAAAAAAAAAAAAAAAAAGCATCAGAGGCTTCCTTTGAGTAGCTACAGAATTTTAAACAAAGCCTCCAACTCACTGTATTGGTTTAAAAGACAGGTGTTGATGCCTTGAGAGGCTGCCTGGAACAGAGACTAGACAGTGGTAAAGGAAAAAAGGTTGGATTTATTAAAAGGACTTCAAAGAATACAAGAGCCAGGCTGAGGCTGCGCCCAAGATGGACATCATGTCATGAATTTTCACCCTTTTATAAGGTTTGGTCCATTTCTATATTGGGGTTAATTGTCCAATTACAGCTCCAGGTGATGCAGTCCCATCCTCCCAGATTGCTCTCTTCACTTTGCAATTTTTGGGCCCAAAGCTGCAATGTCCTTGATTCTGGGGCTGGAAAAGGATTGTTTTGCCTGACTAAACTGTGAGAACTTGAGGAGAAGAGTTTATATGCAGTTCATAGTTATATACTAATGCAGTATGAATCTGGAAAATGAGAAAAGTAAAACTTAAGGCATCAGTGTCTGCCAAGGAAGTTGGGAAATACAACCCCCTTCCCTCTGGATTATTATAACTTTGGAATTACGGGGCTTAGAGGAAAAGAGATGGGTGGAAGAAGAATATAAATGTAAACATATATCTGTGTTTTCTAGAAGGTGTACAGGCAGGCAAACCAACAGCAAGGACACAATCAGCAGAGACAGCACTGCCAGGGTGGTGAACAGAAAGCAGCAATGACCCCAGAGCCTGCCAGGAGCCACAGGGGTCCAGGCACTGGCTGGGTATCAGGTCAGGTTAAAGTGGAGAAAAAAGCTGGAAGCAGCAGCAGAGCAGCAGGGCTTGGCAGTGCAAGCCGGGCTCCCACAAGCAGCCAGGAGACGACCTCTCCCTTCAGAGGGGGTCAGGGTCCTGCCTGGGAAGTGCCAGCAGCCAGGAGACAATCTCTCCTTCTGGAGAGGGTCAGGGTCAGGGTCCTGCCTGGGCAGTGCCAGCCTGGCTCCTGACAGCAGCCAGGAGATGACCTCTCCCTTCACGCAAGGGCCATCAACACCTGCCACCTGAATACAGGATTCCGGGAATTGGGAATATGCATTGATCAATGCCCGGACGGTGGCTTTGTGCAGCTCAGGCTGAAGAAAAGAAAAACTTGAATATGAAGAACTCTAAAAAGAGACAAAGGGACTCTGCTGCGGGTGAGTTATCCTGGCCTCGGCAGTGCACCGGGCACAGCCCGGCTGGAACCAAATAAAGAGTATAAGAACTGTTCCCTGGGAGCAGCCAGGGTGGACCAGGGGAATTTGGTTTGATAGAGGCCAAATCCACGTTCACCCAGCCTCTCTCCTGGGGTGTTACGCTGTCAGCTTGATTGTTGGCTGTCGGGACTGCATTACGGTGGTGAATAAATTCTTTTTATTTTTATTAGAACTGTGCATATCTCATTTTTACATAAAACAAAGTAGATGGTTAGAAACGCCTCCCTGTCCCTCCCTGCTGCTGCCTGGAGCCCAGGCAGGGCTGGCAGGCTGCGGGTGGGCAGACATGGGGAGCTGTTAGCAGATGACGTAGCGGATGAGCCCCGAGCTGCGAATCTCCCTCACTCTCTGGCAGTGCCTCAGGATGCTGAGGATGCTGTGGAAGCGCTTATCCAATTTCAGCAGAGTGAACGCCTTGATATCATCCTCCACAATGAAAAATGCTCCTGGAAAACAAGTAACGGTTTTGTTACAGAAATTACTCCGCTGTAGGATACACTCAGCATTCCACAAGTGACAGCACAGCCTCTTCTCCGTAACCCCACAATCTGCAATTCATAATTCTACAGTCAGTAGGATGGTTTCACACTGAATTGGGAACTTTGCTCTACTTTTAAAACCTGTCATCAGAAAGAGAACTGCCAGCCTTCCCCTGAAGTTCAGACACTCTGCCCCGCTCCATCAGCTCTGTCTCCCAGCAGGCACTCAGGTTTGGGAATTAGATCTTTTGCCATTCTGCATGCATCAGAGCTATGTAGCCCACCGTTCCCCTGACTTACATCAGATTTGGAAAAGAAAAATCCATCATTACTTAAGAAAATTACAGGAAAAGACTAATTACTTGCAACAGCATTGTCCCTGTGTCTCCAAGAAAATGGCACAGGGAAGTCCTGCATCAAAGCTGAGAGCTCTCCGCCTCTTGTAGTTGATTAACTACTTCTATAAGCAAATTGTCATTAAAATTCAGGCTGCCCAGGGCAGTGGTGGAGTTACCACCCCTGGAATTGTTAAAAAAAATGGGTGAATGTGCCCCTGGATGACGTGGTATAGTAGTGAACATGGTGCTTGGTTGGCAGTTGGAATTTTTGATCTTAGAGGTGTTTTCCCACCTAAATGATTCCTGAATTATGTGCAGTATCATGCTTCCAAGCCTAATGGAAAGGAGGACACAAGGGTAGGGGTGTTTCAGCTTAGAAAAAGAAGATAGCATTCTCCCTCCTTGTTTTATCCTTAACACTGAGGCAGTGACATCTTAATAAAAATGGAACATCTCTTCCTTCTATTAAGTCCTTCCAGTTTCACTGGGATATAGCTGATCCAAGCTGGAAAGCCAAAGCTGCCAGAGAAGAGCTAAGGTCCAAGAATTATGTTTGTAAGTGCAGTGTCCCCCAAAATCTTGCTTAGAGCTGAGAAATAACAGCTCATGTTTTCTCACTGCCTGGCCTCTCATGAGAGTTGGTGACATATGTGTCTCACAGGGAGTAGAATCTTCCAGAGACAATAACTGTCAAAATCTAGAGATATTTCCCCAGAGAGGAACTCTGCTGGAATCTCAGAGCTTGTAATGCCACGAAATCCACATACAGATGAGAAGTAGGAAGTTTGTTTACTAGGAAAAGAAAGAAGAACTGCATTACTGCTCAAAATAGAAAACGGTCTCAAATAGAGACCATTTACCACTTCCAGGGACACCAACACACCCAAACAGTGCTGGGAAGCCAGGCATAACCTGCCTGCTGCCTTCACAGTCTGTTACATCAGAACGTCCTGAATTTTGATAAAACAAGATTCCTTCTCATATTTGCTCACATTCCAGAGTGGCAACATTCAGCAGAGCAGGATCTTTTTTTGTGAAGAAATCAGAGGTGGGTGAAGGCAGTAGTTTTGTCTACGTGCTAAACAACCAGCTAAATTCACTGAACCACCTGAGTGGCTGGAAGTGACCCTGATAAACCAGGCAGCATCTTCTCTCATCTTGAAATCAGAGAAGAGGTCAGCTGGCAATCGGCCCAGGCTGAGACCCAGTGGGAATCCTAAGCAGAGAGACACTCACAGGAGAGATTTAAACAAACAAATCAATGAATGCGGAACATCATCCTGAAAAATGCAATGGATAAAGACATTTAATCATTTTGTGCTGGCCAGATAAGAACCATCTGACAGCCTGCCAGGACTTTTCTCGAGACTTTCTAAATGATTAATCACAAAAAAACCTAAACAAAAACATCCACCACACAACAACACACGCTCTATCAGATGCTGAATGCCCTAGTTTCCTAACTGAACTTCCCACGATAAACAAGAAATAAAAACCATCTCTCAGGTGGTTAAAGAAATTAAGCACTTCCATTTTTCAGCCCCCCAGCTGACAGAAAATTCTCTATCAGCTGTAACTTTCTCAAGTTGCTAGAATGGCTTCTTCACTGTAGCCAGGATTACTGTGGATCACAGTGCAGACTGAGCAGCACTCCAGGCCCAGTGTTCAGCCTCTCTTCTACAGCTGTGGGCTCCAACTCTTTACTACTGTCCTAAGAATAGGAACAGTGACACCAAAAATGTGCTGTAAATTAAATTGATGAAGCCAGCACTTTAAGAAATCCAGACTAATATAAGCTGCTCTTCAACTGAGGCACAACATGCTTAGAGAGAAGCCAAACCACCACAGCCCAAACCAGAAGGCAGTCACACAAATTTATCCAGCTGCACGTGCTTGGAATGCTTTTAATAAAGCCCTTTACAACAATGACCTTTGCATGGCAACTGAGACCTCATCTGGAGTCCTGTGTCCAACCCTGTGACCTCAGCATGAGAAGGACATGGAGCTGCTGCAGCCAGTGCAGAGGAGGCACGGAGATGCTGCCAGGGCTGGAGCCCCTCTGCTCTGGAGCCAGCCTGGCCCAGCTGGGGCTGTTCCCCTGCACAAGAGAAGGCTCCAGGGACACCTCAGAGCCCCTGCCAGGGCCTCCAGGGGCTCCAGGAGAGCTGCACAGGGACTGGGGACAAGGCCTGCAGGGACAGCACACAGGCAATGGCTGCCACTGCCACAGGGCAGGCACAGATTTTGGGATCTTGGGCAGGAATTGCTGGCTGGCAGGGTGGGCAGGCCCTGGCACAGGGTGCCCAGAGCAGCTGTGGCTGCCCCTGGATCCCTGGCAGTGCCCAAGGCCAGGCTGGACGGGGCTTGGAGCAGCCTGGGACAGTGGAAGGTGTCCCTGCTAATACTGAAGGCCACTTCCAACCCAAACCATTATGTGATTATGCCAGTATGTCCATCAGATCAGAATTCCCTCCTTACAGAAAAGCTGCTTTTAGAACCCAGAAGTCACTGATGTTATCATCATACTATAATATCCAGAGTCTTGAAGAGCAACAAAAAATGAAGGAAGGAAGTGGCAGGAGGGAGGGAGGAAGGCAGGAAGGCAGGAAGGAAGGAAGGAAGGTAAACAGAAGGTGGGTGCCATGGTGTTGTCAGAGAGAGCTCTTTTTATGTGAGACAGAAGACACTTTGCTCCACTCTTTATGCCTGAACTTGGAAACATGAGTGCATTCTAAGGACATCACCAAGCTTGACATGTGCAGTCCGCCCCTCCACTAACAATTACATGTTCTCAAGAGGAGAGGCATGCCAAAAAGGAGATTTTAATATCAGAGATTTACTGTGCCACATGTTTTTGGAAAAACTAGCCTGTAAGTGCTTAAAACTTATTTTTCAATTGAAAGAAAGGTATTTTGGTTTTCACTCCTTTTATGCTTTGAAGAGGAGAAAACTTCTTAAGATTATCAGATGGACTTACCACTTCCACAAAGCCACTGCAGCATAATTAATTAGCCAGATTTCCCAACTTCAGAACAAATTTTTAATAGTTTGTGTCCAACCAAGTTTAAGACCTGAGAACACATTTCTATGGTTTGGTTATCAAACTAAGTTTCCAGAACTTGTAGTGATTTCAAACTAAATCTTTGTGCATCAAAGTTTCTGCCATGACACACCATTGAAGGGACATATTTTTCAAGGAATACATTCAAAAAGTGAGCCAATCACTATGGGAAAATCTTCTGTCAAAAATACTGAAAAAAAGACCAGTATTTTTATACTTCTGCTGCAACATCCAAGTGTTACGAGTTTGATACTAACAAAGGAAAAAAAAACCCAAACCTTTTGTATCCGCAGTTTCTTGTTCAATGAACCTGTGGTAGAGGTTTCTGACTGGTGCACTCATAGACTTCAAAGGCTGATACAAGATCTTGTACTTGCCCACCACAGCCTTGTTAATCTCTTGAACAACTGTATTAATCTGGTCATATGTTATACGGCCTTTCAAATACCTACAAATAAAAATAAGAATTAGTAACCAGAAAGTCACAAAGATCTGTGTTTATTCTTCTCTTTCATCTGCCTTAACTGAAGATGCCATTCCTAGTTAGAGGCAGTTTCTTCTGTTTTGTATTAAATGAATACATGTAGTAGTTAATTCTGTTCATTTCCTTGATTGCTTAACAATCCTGAAGGTAAAAAGCCATGACAGAACCTAAACCAGAAAGATAAAATATTAGAAAGCTAAATTAAGAAGCAGAATGCATTCAGTGCTTAAGCTGTAAAAAGATTTTCAAAATGGAATAAAGGTTGCTTTTATAGCGTACCTCCTACAGAGGTAGGAGAACAGAGAGAAATAAAGTAACTTTGCAGAAAACAGCAAGAAATTAAATGTTTGCCCAGGAGCACAACTTGGCTCATATTGTCACCACAAATAAGCTGTGTTTGATGTTACAGCCATTTATTGTTTGGCCAGGGCACCGAACTTTCCGGCAGCAGGTGTGGAGCAGAGCCGGGGCGCAGCGGCCCCGTGCCCACCATGGACCCTTTTGAAAATTTGTTTGTTAATGTTTGTTTTGTTGGTTGTTTTTTTTGTTTTGTTTTGTTTTTGTTGTTGTTGTTGTTTTTTGGTTTTTTGGGTTTTTTTGTGTGTGTGTGGCACCAGGTGCCATGGTTTAGTTGAGGTGTTAGGGCATGGGTTGGACTTGATGATCTTTAAGGTCTCCTCCAAACTAGTGATTCTGTGATTTTTTGGGGTTTTTTGAAGAGCTACTAGTTGTGTGTTGCCTTCTGCATTTGGCTGTGCAGCCTACTGAGCTACGAAGATAAGGTTCTGCACTACCAGCATCCATTTCTGAACTCTCAGAGCATTTCATAACACTAGTACTAGAAGAAAAAGGTCTGTTGATAACACCCTAGAGGTACAGGAAGCACAGAAGATAAAGAACAAAGTGATGTGGAAATACTAGAACACTGGAAGATTTGCAAGTAGGGCTATTCAGTATTTACAGATGTAAAGCCATGCCTTCAAGGAAAAGGAACAGTGCTGCACACTGAGAAGCCATTATACAGAAATGAAATCTGAAACTCAAACGACAAGCAGTAAGCTAAATACAACACAACATCCCTCTCCCCCCAAAAATGGCAGTAAAGGCTGGGCCAGCCTTGCAACCTGCATTGTCCTGTGGCCTTCATTCATGGCTACAACAAACCAAACCTGGCCGTTTGTGTTTCGTTCAGTATTGGTTTGCAGATGTGAGGAATTACACAAGTGTTTCAATTCATTTTAAGAATGAATGCTCTAGGTCAGTAGAGCAGGTGGCTAAAAGCTGTGGGACAGCAAGACTGAAAAGATCAATGAACAGCAAGTTCCTTCCTTGTTTTAATCTCAACATACAAGCTCAGTCTTTGGAGAACACACAAAGAATTCAAAGCAGAAGTAGATAATCAATTACAAGTTCCATATTCCAAACCAGAATTCAGACAGGCATTCTGCAATTGCCAACTCAAAATAAGTGCTGTACATTTCAACAGCAGCCAGTCTCTGCCAGGCAGACAGGACAGCAAGGTGTGTAAAACTGAATTCAAAGCAATTGCCCTGCCTCCAAACCGAGTTTGAAACTTACTAGCCACTAAGTTACTTGCAACCAGCTTTCAACTTTATTGATACCTCGATTAATTCAGCGTTGGAGGTGCAGCCATCCCGTAGCTATAAAAACTATAAAAATGCTCTACTTTGCACAGTAATAAAAGCAGCACTACCCTCCCTGAAATGCAGCCACAGCATGAGCACAGCCTGTAACCACAGCAGGGCTTTGCCTGTGTGCATTAACTGCTGTTTATTGCTCTCTCCGTGCCACAGGGGAGCGTGCAGAGCGAGGCAGGCTCAGCCCAGAGGTATAAAATACCTTTATTTAAGCTCCTGTGCTTCCACTGTCAACACACAGGCAGTGAACACACTTAATAAAGGCAAGGGAGCACCTCAGCTCATCCTGAAGCTGAAACAGGACTGGGTCGCCTAAACCTAAAAACAAATGTTCTTTGAGAAGCCCTCAGGCATCCGAGATGCTTTAATCTGAAATTAAACCCCGCCAAAACCAAATGGAATTTTTATTCTGTGCATAACTAAGGATCATAAAAACTCCAGCTGTCCCACAGCCCTCTCATGTTTCTACCCAACCATGGCTGGCAAACCCGTTAATGCTGACATTTATTTCAGTCCATACGTACGCTAATATAAAAACACAAAGTTGACAAGTTCCAAATTCAGGCATTTAATTTAGATTTAAAATAACTTTAAAATCTGCTTCACTATTTCAAATGCAATAAAAATCAAAACTCTTCTAAAAAAGATCCAGTTCTTTTTTTAATCAACAGAAGCCCTTTTTCAAAGCATTTTTCTATTGGTATGAAAACCAGAGCACAGTGCTGTGTTCCTCAGAGGAAAGAATAACATCAATATATCACATATATACCATTCTAAAAGAGATAAAGCTTGTAATGGCCACCCCCTGCCCTCTCAAAAATGGTTGGGCTAAAATAGCCATGTATTCTCCCAAGCCACCATCTTTTGAGACTTGAGAGTTATAATGAATGCACAGAATCTAAAATGCTTTCAGCAGAAAGATTTTTAGAAAAGAGTAAGAATTCTAGACACAGAATAAAGCAAACATTTTCCTTTGCCTCAAAGTCAAAAGTTAACAAAGACAGGTGCTGTGAAATGTCCTTTATCTTCCTCCAAAAAGCACCTTCCTGCAACAGATTTGAAGGGTAAGATAATTTGCAGGTTTTTTATTGTGCAAAGTGTTCTGTTTGATCAGGGTGCTCCACATCTGCCCCTTAACACAGCGTGTACCTCTGCTAAATGCCAGCTGCCCACTCCTAGGACTCTGAAGTCACTGAAGCCTGTGTGTCCCTTTTAGTGGCCTGATGGTGTTAGGAATAGATTTTCCTTCATGTTCAGCACAAAGTAAGTGAAAACAGCCTCAATTTTTCAGTGACCACCCCCCACATCCAGTGCTCACCTGAAGAAATGGGCCCTGAAACAAATTCTCTTTCTTCCAAGAGAATACATTCAGTGTAAGAGAATTTGTATTGCAAGTATTTGCTGCTTAGATTTAGTCAATCAGTATGTGAAATTGCAAGTACTCCCTCATTCTTGTACTACAACATTGCCAGGCAACAGAAATACTGGTAGATTAATAGATCTATGTAAATTCATGTAAATTTTCCTCCACAGAACAAACATGCTTCTCCCATCTGAAAATTAAATTATTTCTAGAGCTCTACCAGCACAGCCTAAGCTGCAACCTTTCCATGATGGGTACCTTCCAACACAGCTGCAATGTTTCCACAAGGGGTGCCTCCCAGTTCTGCTTGTTCTGTGGTTTTGTGAATCTGTAAGGGATAGGAAGAGGATCTGTCTGGCCTCTGTCCCCATCCTCCACGCCCATGAACAGCAGAGGAAAACCTTCCACTTTCAAGGGTTATCATAAACTCCTTTAGGTGGGAAAAGCCCTCAGACCATCGAGTCCAACCTTTCTCTGGCCAAGGCCACCACTAAACCATGCCCCCAAGTGCCCTTCCACCTGTCTTGTGATGTGGAAGATCACAGCCTTAACTGAAAGTTAAAACAATATTTGTCTGGAATGGTCTGTGTCTATTTTTCTTGCCACAGCAGAGCTAAAGACCAAAAATTCCCAGGCTCCAGCTTTATTCTCCCGTAATTTTTTCAGGAGAGAACTACCTAAGGGAGTAAATCCACAAAATACCTGAGGTGTTCTGCAGAATAAGAATACCAGCTGCATGCTCTTCTAAGAAATCCTTTATCATTAGCTCAGCATTCAGGATAAGGAAGAAAATGGGCATTACTCACCTGGAAATTTTGAAGGCTACAGAAAGAAATTATTGGAAAGCCTTAAGTAAAGTACAGACTTAAAACCATATTTCTTACTGAAACAGGTATTGTCAGGGAACACAGTAAATCTAGAGTCTCAATAACAATTTAGCCTTAGGCATCAAGAGAAATTTCTTCTTCTTGCAGCAATATTTACCCATGCCACCCAAAATGCCATTTAAGAAGTTATTCCTATATGTCAGATTTCAGACAAGGATATCCATTAATCAGGTCCTGATGTTAGGGGAAAACACCCACAGCTTTCTATTCTAGAAATTTGGGAATTTCAGTGCAAAGTGTTTTTTTTGTTTTAAATAAGTCTGATTGTTTTTCCTGTCTCAAAACAGATTGGTAAGTCAAGACTTGAAGTTTCCAGAAACCAATATTTGGGTCAAATAAAAACAGCGTTTATCACTGTTTTTCCTTCTATATGTAAAAAAATCCTCCATGTTATGATGGTTCTTTTTTTTTTTTAATGTCAGTTCTCAAAACAAGATGAGGATTCACCTTTATTTAGCTAATAAATCTCTGTTCATACAGTTACAGTGGCTTTTGAGGTAAGAGGTTTGGGTTTTAACCGATCAGTTTTCATCTTCTCAATACCAGCATAAAGAGGAGCCCAATTAATTAATTTGATTTTCATGTTTTCTAGCAATGCATTTAAACCATTTGGAGCTATTGTCATGTTTCACCCCATTAAATATTTCATCTCTGTCAGTCCCAGCTCTGCAAGAGGTCACCCTCCCAAACCTATGTGTGCCACCCAAACTGATATGCCAGGGTACAAGGGAAGCCACTCCTACTTACGCAGGAACACTTTCAAACTCCTCTGTGGTTATTAATGCTGCTTCTTTAATGACTTTTTTCTCTTTTGCAGGTTTCTTCTCATTTTTGAGTTCTGCAGCCTTTGTTTCTTCTTTGTGTTTCACAGCTGGCACAGTGTTGCTGTAAAATGAAGGAATATTCAGTGGATAAACAGCAGGTAAGTAGGAAGGCGAATTCTACTACACTACTTAGTCACAGACTAAGTTCCAGCCTATCTGTTAGGCTGGATGAACACAACTAATGATACTTCACAAAAGAAACACCAGTAAAGAAAGCCTACTCTGTTTCAAATCGTATCCTTCAGTTGACTTCAGCACAGCTCTTGGTTTCTGTGCTGCAGAGGCTGCTAGCAGGTGAGCTGGAAGCAGTCCAAGCGCAGCATGGCACAGCTCAGAATTCAATGTACCATTACATTTCACACAACACAAGCATGGCTTTTTATCAGATAAAACACAGTCCAGACCTGCAGTCTTAACGGGTAGATTTAAAATATTTCATAGCTTTTTAAAACAGGTTCAAATCTTGGGAAGCCTGACTCATCCATTAAACTTTTGAAGCAAAGAAATTCTACATCACCTAGCAGACACTTTAAAAAATATTTTAGGCGAGATTCAAAAGGTCAAATAATTTCCTGATTATTAGATCATTATTTTTATAAATTCACCCTTCCTCTAAACCCTCAGCTTACAGCCTCAAACCCCAAGGGATTTGCCAGCCACCCACCCAGCTGCTCCTCAGCAGGACAGCAAAGGTGATGCATATGGCCAAACCCACTGTCATCAGAACACATGGGCATTACTGGGATGAGCAGCAGAATTACATAAAGCAGTACAGAGCTGACCTGGACAAGGAAATAATCCTCTGCTTGGATCTGACTGTCCCCCAAGAGATCATTGCTGCACACGGGGTCCCAGGGCAGTGAAGGGCACAGCAGTGCCCCATCCGTCCCCACCAAGGATTTGAGGTGTCGCTTGACGTGTTCCCGAGGGAGAGCAGTGCCATGGAGAGGACAGGGAGTGCCACCCGCTGGGCTCCCACACTGACACAGGGACGGGAGCAGCTCTGCTCTGCGCTGTGACACGGCACAGAGCCCTTCGGAAACCCAGCACATCTGCAGCCAGACTTAGGCAGATGTCATCATCTGGAGAACATCTGTTTGCATCTGAACAACATCAAAACGAATCCTGGCACCCTGCAGCTAGCAGGGAATGTCAGCAAACAGGAGGGAAAGGGGAGGGGGGTGCATTTTGGGTGGTGGTGGAGGTGGGTTTGGAATGAAAGGATAAACACAAGAGCCAAGGGAAGCAAGTTCACTCTTGAAACTTCATTCCTCCCACGCTCCAGTCTCCTGCTCAGTCTCCTGCTGTCTATCCCACTGCAACAAACCTTTTCTAGATGATTCCCCATATCCAAACACCCTTCCTTTTTGTTCCCACCCACTCCCTTGTCCCTGCAGTGCTGCAGTGAGGTGGTACAGACACAGTTCACCACTGACCTGAACCATGAAAAGAAAAAAACTTATGCTTTTTTACAAAATCTGGCTCTGGTGCAAAGGGAAACTGAATCTCAACAAACACAGGGGATCTCTCAGAGCTTGAGAGATATTGAGCTTGCTTTTTATTTCAGTGAGATTCCTCTGGTAAACAAGAATAGAAAACCCAACACAGGAGAGAAACAATAGCTAAAGCCATGAATCGCTGAGTTTATCTGTGTGGGTGTTTTCATTTTCCCAGAGACTTCAAGGCTTGTCTCACCAGCATTCAAATGCTCCTCTGCGTTCTGCATGATCTCACAAAAATCACTCCACAATAATATTTACAGCCCCACACATCTGGGAACAGAAAGGGAGGAGGCCAGGAGAGAAGGTTTGGGGAAGAGGCCTGAAAACATATTTACACTGATACAGTGGGTTTTGAACAATTATGTCCCTTCTTACACTTCCTTGACCCTCCACTGCACAACACAGTGAATACCAAGAACTGACAAAATGGGGAAAAAAGAAGAAAGTGTGTTTTGACAAATGGCATCATCATACAATGTATTATTACTCAAGAAAAACCAGCAACAAACTGACAGTGACAGAACTGCAGCTGTGAGCTGGCTGAGCACAATGTGTAGAAAACTGTCAGAAAAGCTTTGTTGGTTTTACATATTGTGGCTCTCTCTAAAAAGGGAAGAACTGGCTAAAGTCATATCACAATTAACTTCCTAATCACAAGCAGGACAAGATTGTAAGGGAAATCAACATCCTAAAGAATCCTTTGGTGTCAGAGGTGGCACAATCACTGAACAAGCCTCATTTACATCTAAACAATTTCCAGGATCTAACACAAAGTTAAGACAAAGGATTTCCTACAATAAGAAAGGAAGTTATGGTGGAAAGGCAGAACCCAAGTGGCAATTTCTGTAGAACTTCAATTCTTACACACACAAAAAGCAACATCAAAATTGAAAAGAACACGTCACCCCTACAGACATTTTGAGAGGCTGTTTCCTAAACTGAGGGGTTCATCTCTAAAGAGTGAAAATAAGTAAAAAGCTTCTGCACAAGTCATCCTTTCACCAGCTAAGAATAGTTTCAATACAATACCTACACCAATGACCACATTGCTACACACCAACAAAAATCACCATTCATTTTTCTCTTCTAGATCCCTCTTTCAACACATTTAACCTTCCACTTTGCTGGAATATGTCTGTCATGTTTTGAGACTGAGGCTTCTCTGGCATGAGGAAGCAGACCAAGTAAAGCTGGTTGATTCAGGGCACATACTGGAAGCACTGAGTTCACACTAATGCATTGCCTTCTGACAAGCTACGAGGTGGGAAAGAAACTCTGGGATCCCCAGATAATAAGGGTGACTCTGCAAATGACCCCACCTGCACCAGACACACTAACAACACTCCATAAAAAAAAAGCATCTCCAATAGGATGGAGAAAGAAATTATAAACACAGAGTTGAAATGTCTTAGAAGCCTTCTGAGTAACAGCTGTTAATTCACATACTTGTAATTTTCACACACTTGAGCTACTTGACTCTGAAAAGCTTCTTACCACAGCCCTCTCCAAGGCAAGGGGGTGTCATAGCTAGCTGAAATAAATGCAGGATTGCTGTAGGGAATAGAGAACAAAACTACCACAAACACAATTCAAAGTCCCACAGAAAGACAACTGAGTTGGAAGATTTTTGGGTTTTAATTGTACTTAAGGGCAGTGGTGAACTTCAGTTCTAGTGACCCAGTATTTGGGTCACTAACCCTTTAATGAGTAGACACTGCAGTTTCAAAGCCTTTAATTCACAGGCAGTGCAGTATGTTTGTGATTCTAAAGGAAAGGAAGCTCAGACTCAGAGAAGCACTTGCCTTCCACTACATCACACCTACCCCTGGAAGCTCCCAATGGAACAACTTGGGATTTTATAGACTTGACCTGACAGATTTGTTGGGGTGCTGGCACAAGCCAGGACAAGAGCCAGCTCCAGAATCAACAGACACAACGACTTTGTCCCCCAGAGTTTCCTAGTGAGTGTGGAGTGAAAGGAGCACAGCTGTACAGCGCTGCAGCTGGACAGTGCCAGGAGCAGCCCGAATCCTCTTGGGCTCAGGTAGCACATACCAGCTCTGGGGTGGCTTAGGCAGATAGCGTGGAATGTGTTCAAGGAGGTGCTGTGCTTCCCTCTGATCTCTCTCAGCAGCCTTCTGCATCTCCTGAAATTAATACCAGACTGTATCAGAAATCCCATCCTACTAACATCAAGCAAGTAAAATTAGGGCAATACTAAATTAATTTTCAGCTTTTTAAAGAGGTCTCTGTTTTCTCCGCATCATCTTACCTCCTTATCTCATAATTTCCCCAGGAAAGCTAGTAAAAACACAAAGGAAAGAGTAGAGTATCTGTCCTTGCACTCAGAATGTCAGAGAAATTTGAGCAGGCAAAAGGAACTTTAGCAATACACCCTGAGCAAGGTCTGGTTGGGGAATGGTGGTGGTGGAGATGAGATAATATAGTAAACTCACCTCTATTCCCCAGACAACATTTCCACAAAAGACTTAACAAAAGCACTGCAAACACAACATAGAATAACAGACAAATATTCTAATTGAATACTTTGTGCAGCTATTGCAAAAATGTGTAAGTACAACTGCTTTTTAGATCACTGTATCTATTATAATAAAGACACTTTTTCAAGGCCAGTGACAAAGACATTATTTTAATGTACTTAGGATGAAGGAAGGTAGACTTAGATTAGATATTAAGAATAAATTCTTCCCTGTGAGGGTGGGCAGGCCCTGGCCCAGGGTGCCCAGAGCAGCTGTGGCTGCCCCTGGATCCCTGGCAGTGCCCAAGGCCAGGCTGGATGGGGCTTGGAGCATCCTGGGATAGTGGAAGGTGTCCCTGCTCATGGCAGGGGGTGGCACCGGATGAGCTTCAAGGTCCCTTCCAATTCAAACCATTGTACAATTCTATGATTCTATGTACAAGCCTTGAAAAATACAATTTTTAATGTTCATTGTTCTGGAGAACTGCTTGACAGACCACCAGCAAGCCTGTTCCAAGCCCCAGTGTCTCTTGTAAGCACATGCATCCAAACATCACTAAGAATCTAGGGGAAAAAAGTGACACATGTATCAAAGATTGCTTTGAATCTTTCAGTATTTTATGAACAGGAAAAAAAAAATTACTTTGAGTGAATCTTTCAGTTTTTCTTGCTGTTGAACTTCACTTTCCATTTCATTCAGGAGATCATGTACAAGGATCACCTCTTTCTGTATTTTACGGAGCACAGGCTTGCGGGAATCATCCTCACCTGTAAAAGAGAGAACATGGAGCTACAAAGTCTCCAAGAAAAAAACAAAATCCAATATTCCTGCCCTTCACAAGCAGTGATTATCTAACTCCCTGATCCTCAGCCACCATATCCCTCCAGGAGAAGCAGCAAGCCAAACTGTCAGCCTTGTACTCCGCACAGCCAAGAGAGTCCATGGAATCACTTAGTTTGGAAAAGCTCTCTAAGAGCTATTTTCCCAGAGCACTCTCAAGGCCACCACTAACCTGTGTCCTGAGTGTCACAGCCACATAGCTTCTAAATCTCTTCAGGGATAGGGATTCCACCACCTCCCTGGGCAGTTCCAGTTCCTGACCACCTTTCCTTGGGGAAATTCCTGCTGTGCCCACCCTGAGCCTGCCCTGGCCCAGCCTGAGGCCGTTCCCTCTCCTCCTGTCCCTGTTCCCTGGGAGCACAGCCCGGCCCCCCGGCTGTCCCCTCCTGTCAGGAGCTGTGCAGAGCCACAAGGTCCCCCCTGAGCCTCCTTTTCTCCAGGCTCAGCCCCTTCCCAGCTCCCTCAGCCTCTCCTGGGGCTCCAGCCCCTTCCTGGCTCCAGCCCTTCAGTGTCTTTCCTGGAGTGAAGTGCAAACCAAACATCAACAAGTTGCTCTTGTTTACCTAAGTCTCTCAATAGGAGACACTTTTTAACATTTGAAATCTTCATATTGATGTGGAGGCATAAATCTTCCAGGCTTGAGGATGCCATATCCTTCACCATCACACTGAGGGGGAACAAAAATGAAGGCAGGAATTTAACAAAGACCTGAGTTGCAAACATTGCCTACAAAAGCAGAATAATTAGAAGGACCCTGATCTGCCAAAGAAGGAAAGGGAACATAAATGATACAGTAAATGGAGTAATTCTCCTTTATCTTATTAAACTGAAGGCAGGAAAGGAAGCATAAAGTGGCACTGGACAAGGCAATAAGTTTCCCAGAACTTTGGAGATAAATGCAGTGCAGCGAGACTGGGAGCATCCTTACTACATTGAAGTGTGCAGTAAAAAAGGAGTTGGAATTTACTGCAAGAGCCAAGAAATACCTGGTTTATATAAGGCAGTTTTACAAGACTCAAGGAGACTACATCAGATGACTGATTCATGTTTAAAGAGGTGTGTTTTTTTTTTAAATATAACTAAGCAATAAAAAAAAATGTTAGCAGAGTTATTAGTGAAGTGTGGCAGTATCAAAACCAGCATTATATATCAATTATTATACAATAATATATGTATATATTATATGTGTACAGTAATACACAATGTGTGTATAATAATAGAGTTATTAACCCTATTATAGACAGGAATTGATTAAAATAAAAAGTTATACAATGTGGCTGACACTGTGGCCCGGCACTGAGCGCCCACACAGCTCCCTCCGGCGGCTCACACTTAGAAACTTCTAAAAAGTCTTAATTTCGCTTTTGGCTTAAAATGCTACCAACTACAGCGCTTATTAAATCCGTTCTTAGAGACCTGCCGCCTCGCCCACCCCCCGTACCTGCGTGTAACCAGGACACTGGAGGCGGATCGGGATATCCTGAGGGGGATCGAGGTCACCCCAGCGCCCGGCGGCACCGCCCGCTTCTCCTCAGGTTTTACCAGGCCCAGCGCCACTGCTTCCCGGCCTTCGTCCTGGTCCCACTCTCTCAGGAGAAGGAAGATGCTCGGCTGGGGGAAGAGGGCTGTCCCGGCCCGGTTCCGGCCCCGGTTCCAGCCCCAGTTCCAGCCCCGATTCCAGCCCCAGTTCGAATCCGCCGCGCTCCGGCGGGCGTTAGGGAGGGCGGGGAGGGCGCATGCGCGCTGAGGGGAGCGCCCGGGCGGGCGGAAAGGGCGGAGCGGGCGCCGCGCTGAGGGAAAGCGGGGCGTGGAGGCGGGAGCGCGGGGCGGAATGCCGGGCATTAAAGGGGGTTGTGGGGCAGGTGAGGGTCGGTCTCTTCTCCCAGGCAGCCAGTGCTAGGACAAGGGGATATGGTCTCAAGCTGCGCCATGGGAGGCTCAGGTTGGCTTCGGGAGGAATTTCTTCGTGGAAAGGGCGTTCTGGCATTGGAAGGGGCTGCCCAGGGAGGTTTGGAGTCCTCGTCCCTGGAGGTGTCCAAGGAGCGCCTGGACATGGCACTCAGTGCTGTGGTCTGGGTGACAAAAGGTTGGGCACGATCTCGGAGGTAGCTTTGTAATTCTGTGGGTCTGGAAGGCACTAGGAGCAAGGACGTGAGGCGGGAGCTCTGAGGGGAGCGGGAGCATGTTGCTGATTTTAGGAGCTCTGTGAACACAGATACCTTAGAGTTCACCTCAGAAACAAGACTTTGTTTATTCAGCGCAGCGTGCGAGGACGACGTTCCCACAAATCAGCTTGCCAAGGGGTAAAAAGTTACATCTGTTACAGAGTAAAATTCACATGAATACGCCCTCTTCCTGCATATCCTCCGCCCACCTAATACACATTTATTTGGGTGATGTAATCTTAACGTACGATTTGAAACAGATTCTTTCTTTCACTAGGCAAATTCTACTCGTACAAGTAACTTCACGTAAGTTACGTTTACAAAAGGCAAGAAGAAACCTGAAAGTCCTACAGGACAGCGGAAGGGAAGGGAAGGGAAGGGAAGGGAAGGGAAGGGAAGGGAAGGGAAGGTGGGGGATTCTGAGGGAAGCAGGGCAGAAAGGCCAGGAGCGGCGACGGGAGGCGGGATCACTGAGGGCAGCTGCAAGGAAGGGCGGAAGGCGGGATCGCTGAGTAGAGCCGGGCGAGGAGGAAGGCGGGATTGCTGAGGGGAACGGTCAGGGAAGCGGGCGGGAAGGGAAAGCGGGATCCCTGAGGGAGGCAGTAAGGGAGGCCGGGTCGGGTCGCTGAGGAGAGCCGAGTGCGAAGGGAGGCGGGATTGCTGAGGGGAACGGGAAGGAAGGGCGGAAAGCGGGATTGCTGAGAAGAACGGGAAGAAAGGGCGGAAAGCGAGCTTGCTGAGGGAACGGGTCAGGGAACCGGGCGGGAAGGGAAAGCGGGATCCCTGCGGGAGGTCGGGTCACTGAGGAGAGCCGGGCGCGAAGGGAGGCGGGATCGCTGAGGGGAACGGGACGGAAAGGCGGAATTTCTGAGCGGAGCCGCGGTCGCTGAACGCAGAGGGATGGGAAGGCAGGACCGCTGAGGGGAGCGGGAAAGAAGGGCAGAAGGCGGAATTGCTGAGGGGAAGGGGAAGGAAGGGCGGAAGGCGGGATGGCTGAGGGTAAGGGGAAGGAAGGGCGGAAGGCGGGAGTGCTGAGGGGAACGGGGAGGAAGGTGTTAGGCGGGATTGCTGAGGGGAAGGGGAAGGAAGGGCGGAAGGCGGGAGTGCTGAGGGGAAGGAAGGGCGGAAGGCGGGAGTGCTGAGGGGAAGGAAGGGCGGAAGGCGGGAGTGCTGAGGGGAAGGAAGGGCGGAAGGCGGGAGTGCTGAGGGGAAGGAAGGGCGGAAGGCGGGATTGCTGAGGGGAGCCGGGCAGGATCTCTCTGAGGCAGCGCCCTCAGTACCCCCCTGCTCCGGTTCCGCCGCTGAGGACTTTACTCCCTCCAGGGAATTGTGATAGCATCGACCATCAACCGCCTCACTATTTATTACGTGGTTGTATAAATTCAGTTTATTTCAGCATTTAACAGAAAACAAAGCCCTCAGTAAAAACTCAGTTTTCAACATACACATGCTGGTGCATCTCCTATAGGACATGGTCACCCATCACTTTTTTTTTCTCTTGGGGTAGGGATGGAGATAATTAAACAGTTTACACTGATCCCAAGCTATTTTTTTTAATTATTAGCTACAAATATAAAGGTTTATTTTATTAAGGACAGCTGCTTATCTCTCCAAGGAAGGAATCAGCGGAATCTCTGTTGCTTTTCCGCAATTCCCTGATACATAAAAGCTCACAGTTCCCTCTGTTCTCTATCCCCAAAATCCTGAAGAGCTTATAAACAGATTAACATACAAACGAGTTGAAGAAGGACACTGTTAAAGCAGGGATACAATCCAATCTGTGTCCAGCAGAATTAAGGAGAACAGAAAATGTGCAAAAGCAGCGCTACAGAATATTGTTGAAATTGCTTAGTACAGGAATGTATCTTTTTAATATTTTAGCAGAGTAGCATGGCCAGGGCAGAAACATGGCACTAATTCCCCCAGGCAAACCATAGAAAAAGGAGGAAGAAAATGTTCAAAAGCCCTGCTTCATAAGGAATTTTAAATATCAATAATTAAGGGATTAAAAACAAACCAAATACAGAGAGTTCTGAGCCCAAAAGCTCAAAACCTGGGTTTTTTCATGTTTGCTAGCTGCTCCAAACAACTACACAAACGCTTGTTCTAGACTTTAAGGGTGGAGTTGTTTTGCACTAACAACCTCTGCAGTAAACAGAATTACAACATGTGACATAAGAAAGGGGAAAAACCCTGAAACTGCACAGATACAGAAAAAAAAAACATACTACAGATCCCCATGCCTACGAAGAGTATTTAAACCTGGCATTCAGAAGTTTCTCTTGTTGTTCAAACCACGTCATGGGAACGATCTGAGGTTTGTGCAGAAACCCCTCCTGTGGTCTCCACCAGTTTATTGATTAAAAGATAAAAGTTTCTGCTGCATGTTGTCGGGGCAGAGGAAAGAAGGCCAGGAGAAAATTTCTTTCTGGAGCCTACTACACCACCCAGTGCTACCTGTAGTCACAGGTCCAAACTTAAGGTCTCAGAAAGCTGTGGTATGATCACAAGTCAGTTTCACCATCAGGAAGCAAGATTGTTCTTCTCAGTTTATTAAGCAAACACGCCTGAGTAAAGAGGCTGATACCCACTTTCTTCTTTCTTGCAGGTAAGCACACAGACGCTCAGCATGCCGAAGAACTGGAAAAGAGGGAGTGCAGGAGGGACTTAGTCCTGCTGTGCTTCTGTTTCAGTTGTCAGACTAAACACCTACGCAGCAGATGACTTCATCATATGAAAAAAAACCTCATTTAAAAATACATCTGCATAAAGCATTATTTTTGCATACCAATTCCCAGTAACAGTTCTGGCTGAAGTGTTTCCTCTCTGGTTTGTAACATTAATTAATACATTCACATTAATTACTAGTTATCTTTCCATGGGGAAAATTTCAGTGAAAGGCTAGGATTGTTCGGGGATAAAATGAGTTATCCAAATAATTTAAAGACAATTTTGGACAAGGAGTGACCGGAATGGCTTCCCACCAGGAAGAGCAGGGATTGGGATGGGATCTTGGGCAGGAATTGCTGGCTGGCAGGGTGGGCAGGCCCTGGCCCAGGGTGCCCAGAGCAGCTGTGGCTGCCCCTGGATCCCTGGAAGTTTTCCAGGCCAGGCTGGACAGGGCTTGGAGCAGCCTGGGACAGTGGAAGGTGTCCCTGCCCATGGCAGGGGGTGGAAGGAGATGGGATTTAAGGTCCCTTAACACCCAAACCATCCTGGGATTCTGTGACTATGATAAAATGGATTCCACACAGAATTTCCATCCCAAATCCCCTGCTATCTTTTGAATCCCCCCCATCATTGTGAGGCAGATGAAATGGAGACAATTGGAAAAACACAAGTGAGGAACAGAGGACTGAGTCCGCTCCAGAGGCAGAAGAAAGCTGTAGGCTTTTAGGACAGTGAAGATGAAGGAGATCCAAGGGCAAACAGTGTATTTTCCATGAGGGAAGAGACAGGAGTGTTTACCTTTACGATGGCAAACCCCAGGATTACAAGCATGGCGTAGCTGATAACGCTCTGCAGCCCAGACTCCAGCTCCTGCGCACAGCCCTGCCATGAAAGAGAGAGGTAAAAACGTGTTAAAAAGTGCTCATCCAGCTGGAAGTTTTTATTATTTCCCTCCCAAGGAAGCAGGGCCTGGTAAGGCCCGTTTAATCAGCACTGCAGGTTTGAGGAACTCCATTCTTGTCTCCCAGACCTGATGGCTTATTTCTTCCTGCGTGAGGAGTGTTGAGGCGAACACCTCATGCGTGGAGACACGAGGCTTGACTCCATTTTTTCAGAAGGCTGATTTATTGTCTTACGATATATATTATATTAAAATACTACGTTAAAACTATACTAAAAGAACAGAGAGAAAAGATCATCAGAAGGCTACAAAGAACAGGAATGGAATAGAATAACAAAATCTTCTGACTCAGAGTCTGATGCAGCTGCCTCTGTGATTGGCTCTTAATTAGAAGCAACCAACATGCACCATTCACAGATGCACCTGTTGCATTCCACAGCAGCAGGTAGTTTTTGTTTACATTTCTTTCTTGAGGCCCTCAGCTCCTCAGGAGGGGAAAAATCCTAGCAGATGATTTTTCATAAAATGCTATGGTAACAGAGGAGAGGCACTGACAAACTGCAATTTACTGACACTTGCTGCATCTGAATTTCCTGTAGCTCAGGTCGTTTAAACAAGAGCCCAAAACTCAGAGCCAGAGTGGCCATCAATAGTATCTATAAAAGTCAACTCGGGGGCTTATGCCCCAGACTGGAGAACCTGGTATGGAGTTAATGGAATCACAGAATAGTTTGGGTTGGAAGGGACTTTAAGGTCATTCAGTCCCACCCCCTGCCATGGGCCAGGACACCTTCCACTGTCCCAGGCTGCTCCAAGCCCTGTCCAGCCTGGCCTTGGGCACTGCCAGGGATCCAGGGACAGCCACAGCTGCTCTGGGCACCCTGGGCCAGGGCCTGCCCACCCTGCCAGCCAGCAATTCCTGCCCAAGATCCCAAAATCTGTGCCTGCCCTGTGGCAG